TTGAAAAATTTAGTAACCGTCTTTTGACTTAATGTCTGTGTTTAAATCTGTTTGTGTAATGCAACAAAAATAATAAAAATCAGGAAGGATTTCTGTACAACTTAAGGCGTTAATTACACGAAAAAAATTATATACACTATTTTATTAACCACCAAATTATCCATCAGAGACCCAAGTAAAAGGCCCCAAACATGTTCATTTATTACCACTCTGCGGTGTGTGCTGCTGTATGTGATTTGCAACAAGTTTTGGTAGACAAACCAAAATCCAAAGAGACCAAATAGAAAAACCATTATTTCAAACATTTATAATTGTGTTTTTCTATGATTTAATAGAGACTAGAAAAGCCAGAAGCGGTACATGACAACACACTCTGCTGCTGATGATTATGATGATCATCATCGTCACAATCCCGATTTAATATAATGGATTTGAAAAGCATGTAAATAGAAAGAAAAATATAGTAACGATTGAAAAGCACTTTACTAAGAGAGTGCATCTGATATGAACAGTGGTATAAATAAATAAAATTAATTAATAAAAACATTTTTAAAAAAATCATTTAAATCCTCCTATGGAACATTATTGAGGTTTTGAAGTACTTTCTTCGTTCGGAACTAAATTCTTGAAAGCAGTTGTAAAAATTTTAAATCCATTTAAAACTTCATAAATTTATTTTCATTATTAATCGGCATATTTGTAATGACTTACTAAAGTCGTTCTTTGTAAGCGAGTGTGGTAAGTATTTTCTTCAATGACATCACTGTGTTTAAATAATGTGTTAAAATGCCAATGAGCAAGTAGTGAAGAATGGTTTTATTAGCATTTTAACTAATTACTTTTCTAGGTGAGTTTTTACTGGGTATTGCAACTATTTCTCAAAATTGGACCTAATTTTAATAATTTTACACAAAAGTATTCGAAAAAATCTGATCTAGAAGTATTTAAACTCTAAAGGTGACAAATTTGTACAAAACTATTGATAAAAGAACTGGTTTCAGAACCTTTCTAAAGAAACAGTCTCAGCAAAAACTAGATAATGACTTTCAATTATAATTTCCCAGCAAAATCTTTACTTACCCGGTAAATAGGCAAGTAATATTGGAGGCAAGTGTAAGTACTTACTTTTTGGGTGAATAACTACTTATTTTTGTTCGACGATGACCAAAAAATAAGTGGTTACAAATGTGCTTATCCGACTTTCTTGAATTTAAACTCGGCTTTACAGTAATTTTCTGTGATTATTAGTCTATTCTCTTACTCAATGCTCCATTTACAAGTTATTTTATCGTGCTATTTGGAATGGTTTTTACACAAATGTAAAATTCTAAATTTGTTCAAAAAACTTGTAATGTCGACCAGGGTTAGAATCATTAAGTAATTCTTTATTAGACATACACGCTAGACGATTGGCTACAAATCCTATTAAAAAATATTAATAAATGTTACTGATAACGACCCCACATTACCAAGTAATGTATGAAATACCAACATTTTAAAATATTTTGCTGGGATACTTTTCAATGACATATCGTCCGAATTACAAAAAGGTCTTACTAATAATGTGTTATATAAATACTTTCTAATTCATTAGTCATCTTGCCGGTGAAGATATAGAAGCTGTATACGTTTTTTCAGGAGATTTACAATAACTACTTTTTCTAATTACTTGTAATGGTTTGTGGTAAGTACTTGCCTCCAATGACATCACCATATTAAAATAATGACTTAAAATGCTATTGTGTAAGTAAATTTTAGCATTTTAACCCCTTACATGGTAATTAATGTTTTTACTGGGGGTATCGAGTGTATAACGCTTCGAGTGTAAAATGCTTTCAAAGAACCAGTTCTGAAGGTGAGAATTTCGAAGAAATTCTAAACTAAAACTTATACAACGCTATAATCATACGTTCTAAAACTATTTGAGCAATTAACATAATTTGTCATCACGTTTTTACATCAATCATTCTTCGATCTAACACATTTTAGAAAAACCGCTAATTTTAACAGTTTTTAAGTTGACAATTTTTATTTCGCATCATTTCATTAATTAAACAAATTTTGTTCTTTTAGTAGAATTCTTTAAAAAATAATATGTAATAATGTCAAATAAACGAAATTTAGCTGTAAAATTATTTAACGATCAAATGATTAATTAAAAAGAATACTAAAAACAAAATATCTTAAGGCACATATTTGTTTTTAGTTAATTATAATGTTATTTGTTTTTATTTATACTTAAAAGAGTATTATGCAAATTAATATTAAAAACAAACCCAGTAGAAAATTTTGACAACAAAACTTTTAAAGACTATATAATACTTGTATGATTGATTTTATTTTAAAAAATTTATTGATTTATTTTAAAAAATTCCTAAAAAATAAATACATAAATAACATTGTAAATATATCAAAATGACAAAATTTTTTTATGAAAATATATTTTTCTTAAAATGTTCTATGAAAAGAGAATTTTTAATATTTTTTACAAAAATTTTCTATAAAAGAGAATTTTTCGAAAACCGGGAGAATGGAAAGTTAGCTGCTGGTTTTCTATATTATGTACAAAAAATATTTTAACATATGAGAGGTGCGGCAAAATTATTATAAATTTTAAGCTACATAGTAAGTATTCCAAATAAAATGTGTACAATCCCAGGAAAAACTTACATTGAAAAGTAATGAGCTAATGAGCTAAAAAGCTAATAAAACCTCTTTTCACTACTTCTTCATTAGCATTTTAAGTCATTATTTTAACACGGTGATGTCATTGGAGGCAAGTACTTCTACGCTCGCTTACAAATAGGGAGTTAAAGAAGTACTTGCAATTTCTCTTACAAAACAGAAGTACAACCCATTACCGAGTTTTAGCTGGGATATTATTAATTCCTCAACAGTTTTTAAAAATTGGTACTAATCGGCTGAAAAAAAAAAAATATTTTTAAATTAAGCGTTTACTTTCTCTAAAGCTTCCTTAGAACTAGTTCCGAGGTTGACAAATTCGAACAAAAATCATTGATTTAACAACTAGTTCCAGAACCGTTCCTAAGAATGAGTGTCGACTCCATAATGCTTCTTCAGAACCAGTTCCGAAGGTGACAATTTCGAACAAAAATCATTGGTCTCAATGTCAAAGTAGAACGAGTACATGTTATAATCATGCGTTCTAAAACTACCCAGCAAAATATTTTCAAATTTTGGTAATAAGTAATAAAGGTAATAATGTAGGTATTTCATACATTACTTGGTAATGAGTGGTCGTTATTAATTACATTAATTATTTTTATAACCTACACCACTATAGTGTCGATGGTATTATGCGTTTGTGCTGATGTTTGTAATACCCAAAAATATTAGCCCTACACCCATCTTAAAGTATACCAGTCGCCCCAGAAGCACTTTGTGAGTCGATTTAGCTATGTCCGTCTGTAACCCCCTGCCCCCATATAAACCCTCATTTAGAAAATTTCTTTTTTTCGACAAATGACAAATACAAATCTTTGGTAAAAGTTTATGAATAAGACTGGTGTTGGGTTTGTTACTTGGTTTTTAATAGGATTTGTAGCCAATCGTATAAGGAATTATTTAGTAATTCTAACCCTTATCGATATTAGAAGTTTTTTCAGCAAATTTAGAATTTTATTTACATTTGTGTAAAAACCATTCCAAAATAGCACGATAAAATAACTTGTAAATGGTACATTGAGTGAGAGATTAGACTAATAATCACAGAAAATAACTGTAAAGCCGGTTTAAAATTCGGGAAGCACATTTGTAACCACTTATTTTTTGGTCATTGTTGAACAAAAATGAGTGGTTTTTCACCCAGGGTACACTTGCCTATTTACCGGGTAAGTAAAGATATTGCTGGGTAGTTGTGGAACTAATACAATTTTGGTTTTATTTTTTTTTATAAAAACATAATTTTACAAGAATGTTCTTTAAAAAAAATATATATTTTTTGATAATTTTTGCATAAAAAGCTAGTTTTCTATTATAAGAGAATTTTTCATAATTGAATGAAAAACTAATTTTCCGCAAAATTTTTTATTAAGAGATTTTTGTGAATTTTCTTTAAAATAAATAAAGTTTCGATAAAAAGGAGAATTATGTTCTATAAAAAGATTTTAAAAATTTGCTTAAAAAAATATTATTTTACAAAAATTTTATTTAAATAATCTTGCGGGAATTTTTTAGAAACTATAAAAAATAGAATATTTCGAATATTTTCTATAAAAATAAAATCTTTCGAAAGTGAATTTTAAAAATTGCATTAAAAAATAAACATTTTTCAAAAATTCATTTATACATCGCTTTGTTTTTGGTTTATTCATTATAATATAATAAATAATATCTTAAAAATTTTGATTTCATTCACAATATACAGCCTGGTTTGTCATAAAATATTAGGACATTAAAATTTATGTTCTGAGAAAAAGTATTCCAAATTTTCATTCTCAAGACCCCACTGTGAAACAAGTACAAACATACGTCAGAGTATTAAACGAAAAACGGGGTTACTTAACGGATTATTTCAAACAAACATATAAACACTATAGAAAAAAAACAAAAGACTTAAGTGACAAACATGTTTGCAATAAAAAAAATTAAAACTAATAAACACACAAACACAAAACAGGCAACCACCGGCCAACCTGGACTACGTTGTCTAAATGATTTTGTTTTTGTTGGTGTTGTCAGTTATCGTTGCTAAATGTAACTCATCATAGATTTCGTGGAACTAAAGTAACAAACAGCATGAACATGAAAATGAACATGAACAAGTCCATTTTGGTCAATAAAACACATTTAAGTGGAATTAAAGAAATAAATGAATGCCACGGATGAGGCAATAGTTAGTTAATAGGCGGGCATAATATGAACTTTTTCCACAATTTTTTTTTTTATAAATTATGACAGCAACATTCATATAATAAACTTTACTATAAATTTAAGTAACTGTAAATAAAATCAATGAAAAATGTTATATTTGAACTTGCCTATTGCAGTGTGCAGATGATGCAGTATTAACAGCCAAATCAATGAAAAGCTAAAAAAGCCTAAACAATTTTGAGTTTTAAAATCCACATGCAGGAGATGTAAAATCATTTTTTTTGTTATTGCTAAAAATATTTGCGACTTAAGTTGCAGTTGAAATATTACGTTGCGTTTGTTGCAAATACAACCATTTGGCAAACCACAAGTTTATGGTTTTAAGGTCGTTGAGCTGTTGTTGTTGGTTTTTTGTTTGTTTGGCCAGCAGCTGCAGTTTCTTATTGTAAATCCTTTAAAAGGTAAAGTGGGTTAATAAACTTGACCCACACACTTTAAACATGTAACAAAAACATGTTGTTGTGTATTTTTCAAGGCACTTCTTCAATAACACTTTGTTTTATTTAATTTTTTTTGTATAATTTATAAAAAATATTTTTTTTTATTGATTACTTTTTTTCTTTTTAAATAATCTTTGTTTTTATTGATATATAACTATTTTTGTTTTTTAATATTTTGTGTCAAATCTTTTCTTTTACGTTTCTTTTTTCTTTCTTCTTATTTTAACCGCTTAACACTTGCAACACGAACCGCATTCAAACATCAACTGGGGTCTTGTTTTAGTTGCAAAGATGTTTCAAGCGCGACTTTTAGTTTTTTGTTTAGTTTTTCCTCTAAACAACAATATAACCAGAGAACTTGTTAAAACCATAAAAATTTACAAGCATATGTATAGTGTAAGAAATATATAAACTAACAAGTCTTTTTAAAATTAAATACCCAATGGGAAATGTTATGAACTTCCCTTGTGGCGGATAGTGTGAGATTAGGTCAGTTACAATTATATACTTATGCAAATTGACCAATAACCAATTACAATTACAAGTAATTGAAGTTTTTCCAATTACAATTATTTGAAGTGTGTAATTGAGCAATAACCAATTACAATTACAAGTAATTTTATTGACCGATAACCAATTACAATTACTAGTAATTGTAATTGAATTTTTGCCAATTTCATTTACTTATATGTAATTGTAATTTAGGTATTACGAATTACAAATTACATGTAATCAAAAGGGAGTGAATTCAAAATGACAAGCAATTTTTATTGGAAATTCTTCAACTACAATTACTTGTAATTGTAAAAACTTCCATTACAATTACAAATAATTGTAATTGGCAAAATTTTAATTATAATTAGAAGTAATTGTAATTGGTAAAGCTTCAATTATAATCACTTCAAAGTCTGCGGGAGAAGATGAACAATCTTTCCTATGATTTCACCTCAGGAAATCTCAAGGTAGAATTGTTCCACTAAAATACTCAAACTATGGAAAGTACAAATAATAATATTAATGTTACGACGGTACAGGGCCTAAATAACACATTGTTGATCTGCTCGCGAGACTTGTGAAGGCATCATGCAGTCGTGAGTAAAACACTACTACAGATGTGGAAACCTTAGCTTCTATGGAGGGCAATGTGACCAATTGCAAAATTTTAGAGGTGAAAGAAAATGTATGTAACTCTGAATACCTAGATAATAATAACACCATGAAATCTTAACATAGATGAAGTAGGGGAAATGGTGCAGAGGGTGGGTGACAGCATGGATAAGTTATCGACAATCACAACTATCTAGGAGAAGATTTAGAAGATGTTCTAGAAAATAATATCGTATAAATCTCAGAATACTAAAAAGGATATATAGAATTTTGACTAAATATCTGAAGTAAACAGAGAGAACAAACTCAGACGTACCTCACTCAAAGGAGGATAAAGCCACAATCCTGTAAGGAAGACAAGCTAGCTATGTGAAGTCGAGCACGTCAGCCAAATCGAATTCGAAGGAAAGGAGGCCTGCACAGAAGCCTATATATGCGGGGATGAAGAGCTAGATACTGAAAAGGGGAAACTAAAGTAGCTAAGAGAAAACAACGAGACAATCATGTATACGATGCTAGAAATCCGGCATATAACTCCCAAATTATCATCCTCGAAACTCCGCTATACATTTTTTACATTTTATGGAAATGATTAGTAGTTTTTTTATACATTACTAGGTAATGAGTAGTATTCAACAACCACATTATTGCATCTAGCTGAATAACTACTTAGAGGTAAAGAGAGACATAATCTGAACAAACCAAAGAATATACTAACGTACTGTCAAATCTCAATCATACCTCACTCAAAGGAGTTTAAAGCCACAATCATGTAAGGGAGAAAAAGCCAAGCAAGCTACTGTGGGGATGAAGAGCTAGATACTGAAAAGGTAAAACAAAAGTAGCTAAGAGAAAACAACGAGACAATCATGTATACGATGCTGGAAATCCGAAATATAACTTCCAAATTATCATCCTCGAAACTACGCAATACATTTTTTGGAAATGATTAGTATTTTTTTCATACATTACTAGGTAATGAGTAGTCTCCAACAACCAGAGTATTCCATTTAGCTGAATAATTACTTACATGTAAAGAGAGAAATAATCTGGAATTGTTTATAGTCCATTTGTTTAAGGCATTTGATTAACAAAGGATTTTTGGTTCGATCTAAGTTTGATATCAAATATTTTTTTTTAAATAACTTAGTTTTATATATTTAAACCTTGTCTGGACCTCGTCGAATGAAAATAAGTAGTTATTCTGCCCAAAAGTAAGTTGTTTTTTTTTTGACAACCCATGACCGAAAATACCCGTTATTGGCCATATTTGAAACGTTATAAAACCGCTTAAACACTTTAGTTTAAAAAATGGATTACGTCATCTGAAAGACAAATCTGTCGTTTTTAAAATATAGGTATAACTTCTGTCATATCTTCTTGTTTTCTTCGAGATATACTAAAGTAAAGCTTGAATATAACATTTATAGTTTTTAAGCTCAAAGAAGGAAACAGTTTTAATAGGGTTAAAACCCTTATTTTGTAGTTAGCAGATTGGACTTTCAGATACTATAACAAGTATAGCATTTCCCTATGGGGTTCTTTAAAAAATAAAACTTAACCGATTGTTTCCAACAAACTAGTACATTTAAAACACCGCTGAGCGTATGTGTAGAAATATTGTCTAAGAAGACTTGTTTTCTTTTCTTTATTAAAAACAATTTCTAAGACTTTGCGCTGGGAAATTGCATTAATATTTTTTACTATTTCTTAAAGAAAAACTTCTGTTGTTTAAATAGAAAAACCATGTATTTTTATAAATTAAAAGTACTAAAGAAAATAAACATGTCTCATGTCATACGTTGTTTAGAGTCTATCAAACAAAAAGTTTTTATTTATAAACATGAACGATGATAGTATGTAGTACAATGTTGGGAGTTGGAGTTTTTTTTTCTTTCTTTTGATAACAAAAAACAATGTTTTTGTAAAAATTTGCATGATCTGTAATAGTTGAAAGCTGTAGCAGCTGTCAGTCTTTATGGTTGACAAGTGAAAATTAATTAGACAAATAATTTAAGTAAAAATATTGACACTTTAAAGTTAATCGCAAAAGGTGAATTATACTATTAAGTTTGTAATTTTTTAAAAAATTAAAAACAAACTATCCTCTAGCTAGTTTTGAATATAAAACATCTTTTGCAATTTTTCTGTTATAGACTTCAAATATTTTTTACAATATTTTTGAAACTCTTCTAAAAGGAATTTTAATTAAAGAAAGAAAAAGCAATTATTAATTTACTTAAAAGGAAGTTGTGAAATTTTTAATACCCACTAATTTCGACAGTTATTGCGGATTTTAAAAGTTGAATTATGAAAGTTTGCTTATTCAGTATTTAAAGAATTTTTTGTAAATTTTTAAACTCTTTAAATTAAAACATAAAAATACAATTAATATTAAATTACTTGTTAAAAATGTACATAATTATGAAACATTGCGCAATAGATTCTTAAATAAAAATAGTTAACAAATTGCGTGTTAATTCATATGAAGTAACGAACATTACTTTTTTTCATTTCCATTTAATTTCAAATTTATTTAACAATTTTTTTAGAACTTTCTCTTACAAAAACTTTGTTTTTTTAACAGTTTTTTATTAAACAGAGTTAAACTCTTATCTTTAGTAATATGTATGAAAAAAAAGTCATTTTATTTATTTTTATTTTCACTTTAATGCACAACAAAAATGTTTCAAATATCAATTTTATATTCCTGTGCTATAAAAAAAATTAAAACAAATATTTTCTTTAAAAAAAAATTGTTAAAAGTTAAACGCACTGAACTCTCAACATACAATTTCGTCAGTTTAAAAAAAAAAAAAAAAAAAAAAAACACGCAATGAGTTTCAATTTCGAATCTACAAGTGCGTGTAAAAAGCATTGAGCGAGTAGTCAGTGGTAGCACTTCTTGTTAAGGCGATAATTAAAAACTATTAAACTTAAATGTAAGACGAATAGGTTGTTTTTTTGTAATTTATGAAAGACTAATAAAAAAACTAAGCTAAATATATAAACAATAATAGTAATAAAAAAATAATGTTAATAAGTTTTTTTCTAGTAGTGTTTCAAACGAACTTTGAATGCGCTTTTTGTTTTCGAAAGTATAATATAGTTTGTTTCGAAAATATTTAAAATATTTCAACGAATTTAGAATTGATATATTTTGAGACGAATATATTTTCAACGAATTTAGAACTGATATATTTTGAGACCATTTTCGAAAATCTAATATTAAGTTCGAATTTTCGAACTCGCTGAAAAATTACTGATAATGTTATTTATTGTTATTTTCGAAACTATTCCATCTTCGAAAATTGCAACTAACTTTTTTCATTTGAGACCACTTTCGAAAATTCAATATTAAGTTCGAATTTTCGAACTCGCTGGAAAATTACTAATAATGTTATTTATTGTTATTTCGAAACTATTCCATCTTTGAAAATTGCAACAATTTTTTTCATATTTTGTTAAATCGAAAATCCAATATTAAGTCCGAATTTTCGAACTCGCTGAAAAATTACTAATAATATTATCTATTGTTATTTTCGAAACTATTCCATGTTCGAAAATTTCAACTATTTTTTTCATATTTTGTTTACTTTAGCACTTTTTGAGACCACTTTCGAAAATTCAATATTAAGTTCGAATTTTTGAACTCGCTGGAAAATTACTAATAATGTTATTTATTGTTATTTCGAAACTATTCCTTGTTCGAAAATTGCAACTACTATTTTTTTTTCATTATAATATGAAAAAACATATCCTCATTATAATCTATAATTTTTAATTTTAGAAAAATTCTAAGAAAATTACTCTACTTTTATAAATAAAATTATTAATTAATTTAAATATTAATTAAAAAACTCTGTATATCCGGATAAAGATATAGACAACCTCAGGCTATAAATATAAACATGTGACTCTGAATTCTCAGATGATAATAACAACACCAAATCTAAACAGGGATGAAGTAGAGGAAATGACGCAGAGGCACCATAGGTAAGCCATCGGCAAATAAAAAAAAAAAAAACATATATATGGATGAATATGAAGATATACCAAAAATTATATTATATTCCGGTATGTGATGGTATTCGAAATCAACCGATTTGAAAAGGTTTAATGAATTACATCCGAGGAATGATT